CAGTCTGTTTCCAGCAGGGCTTGCAGCCTCCCAGCCACTCGCTGGGAGCTGGCTGGGCTCCGTGGCTGGCAGCAGCTGCTTAGAGCCCGGGCTGGTTGTGGTGTATTGAGCAAAATGGCCTTGTGTGCCATGCTTGGGGGTTGCTGAGCCCTGATTGAAGGAATAGACTTCAGAGATGCATTTTCTTGCTTGCTTCATCTTTGTTGAATCAGGAACTAATATACTATCCATGATCTCAATTCCAATTATTATGCCTATTACTAAAGCAGTCAAATTCATTCTCAAATATCAAAATAATTTACAAGTTGGAAGCTTTTGGTGTCCTTTAAGGACATGTAATCCAAAGCTTAAAGTCTTAAATATCAACATGTAATTTTTATCTGAGTTATAAAACACAACAGAACTTTTATCTTTATTACTGTATCACTAGAAACTGAATAACTGAAGTGTGCCTCAGGTTCCTACATTAACAGTAGTAAATATATTGAAGGTAGCTTATTTTTAATTGTTGCAACACCTATTAAACATGATTTTGGATCAGATTTTAGTAATGAAGCAGATGGTTAGTGTTTAGTTAGTTGACTGGAGGTATACCAGTGGAACTGACTGAAGACCAGTTTGCAGCATACAGAGTGATTTGAAAAAAAAATCACTAATCCTTAGATTTAGCTCCTAATTAATCCTTAGGATTAATCCATTCCACCTTTCTTTGGAAACAAAATAGGTGGAGGAAAAAAGGAGACCAGGATCACTTTCAAGAATATGCCAGAACACAACAGGCAGCACCAAAGCGGACTGTAGTACAGCCTCAACTCGTAAACTTAAGGGGTGAACAACTAACATTTCCCACTATTCAATAATATAATTGGGCCTGTCAGCCAGATATAGTTCTGGTTGATCAAACAAAATGACAAAGGCATCAGCTCTCTGTTACCCTGTTCGTTATGGAAATTCTTGTTGTATCATAACAGGGTCTCAGTGCACTGTTCATACCTGCAATTTTTGCAGGTCTCTTAATGTGCAATGCAGTGGGGGATGCCATGCTTCTTTAGAGCCAAAACATGATTTCTGTAAGGATAGGCCTGGCTTTCATTTTCCATATTGAAAAATGACCTTTCTGATACCAGCAATTAGAGACCAAATTTCCCAGTGCTGCATAGCCTATAGTGAAGAGCAAAGTGAATATAATCCCTGAATCTACTCTGCACAGCCTCAGTTCAGAGGGAAACTGCAGGAAGGCAGCTTCAATTTATCCTTGGAATCTGACATTCTTACAGCAGTGCAGTCCCAAGGCCTTTGCCACATCCCGTTTCTCTAACTCCATCTGTGGGTCACAACCCAAAATTGGGTTGTAATAATATATGAAAGGGTCACGAACAAGCTTTAAAAATGGATTTTCCCCAGAAATATGTGGGAAGCCCTGGCATTTCCCTTGCTGGCTGGCAGAGCTCCAACCTGCAAGGGGCTGCTTGGGGCCCTCCGTGCCCCACACAGTGGGGCTGGGGCCTGGAGGGGCACTGGGTCGGGACTGGCCATCCATGTTGACAAATGGTACAAAAAAAAAGGTTGAGAATTAGTGCCCTAAGTCATCTTCCCAGGCCCTGCACTCATCCTGCTGAGCACAAGCCAGCCGCATGGCTGAGGTGAAGTAAGCACAAAGTGACTTGAGAGCTTTCTCCTGGCTGCTGCGCGCGGGACGCACTAAATGAATTGAGAGGAACCAAGGACCCACACGGGGGGGCTGAAGTCACTATTCACTGCCTGCCGTTTATGCTGGACTGACCTCAGGTGCCCGAGCCACGGGCCCTTTCTCTACAGCTAAAATAGAAGACACCAGCGGAACCGCAGCACACCCCGCTCTGCAGAACAGAACACAGCTGCGCATGCGCTTCCTTTGCCTCTCTTAGGCGCGATATTGGTCTGGCTACTCGCTCGTGACGTCACGGAGCGGCCGGGAGCGGCCCGCGCGCACTGATCACGGCAGGAGCGAAGAGGCGGCCACTGCGAGTGCTGCTGGGACGCGAGTGGACTGTACCAATGGTGAGGGGGGGGCCGTACCAAAGTGCGCTTCGGCGGGGGGTACGGGGGTGGTGGAACCTACCGAGCTGGACCTGAGCGCGGCGCGAGGAGCCGCTTGGTATGGGGGGAGGGGACGGGTGGCTCCCCCGGGGCCCGGCGCCGCTGCCGTCCCCCCCCCTCCCCGGGTGCGTGGGAGGCGCCGGGCCCGCGCACTCGGAGCTCGCTCGGACGGAGCTGCCGCGCTTGGTGCCTAGGGTGAGGGGCCGGGCCAGGCCACGGGGCTCCCAGGTGAGCACGAGGGGCTGGGGTGGGGTCCCTGGCTGCGGGGGAGCGGCGGCCCGGGCCGGCGGGACTGTGGAGATAGGCCTCTGCTTTATGCCCAGGCAGGGAGGAAGGGCCCCGCCCCCTCCCTTCCATATCCATTTGCAGAGCTCTCTGTGCGCTGGGGAAGGGGTCTGACTCAGAAATGCCCTCCTGAGAGGGGCCTCTTTAACCTGTGCAAGTGTTTCTGTATCTCTGTAGCTGGTCCCGGGTAGCATCGGAAACTGCAGGCTTGGGGGCTGCTCGGGGTGGGGTAACTTCTCCAAAATACTGCAGTGTTGCAACCTCCAGTGTAAGAGGAGTAGAACCAAACCCCTCACCCCCACTGTGTTGTGTGTATTCCTCTGTTGGAGAAAGGGGGATATCCCTTAGACATGCCCTCATCTGAGGTGTTAAGCAGTCGGCAGCAGTTCTTATCTGTTGCTCTCTGGCAGAAACTACAGTCATTGTGGCTCTGAATGTCTGGACTCGGTCTGGCCTTTGGATTGTGTCTTGCTGGTCTAACGTGGGGGTGGTAGGTCTTAGGCCATTTTCAGTTTCTCCATACTCTTGCTTAGGTGCATGCACTGAAGGTCTTGGTGTGATGGTCATAGACCTTTTTATGCATATGCCATGATCCAGAGGATTGATGGTTGCCTGTATACGCATACTTAAGCAGAAGGGAGGGTATAGTTGCACCTGATAGACTAAATCAGAAATGTAATGTACTTTAGGAAAGCAGGTATGTAATTAGGCACATGAAAGATCTGGTCTCCAGTTCTGCTAAACCAGTGGTGCTCAATCTCTGGTCCCACAGGTCAAATCTGGTCTGTAGCACTGTGACATCTGTGCCACAGGGCACCATGTACCTCCAGAAATGTGGTGTCAAGAGAGCAGTGGCACTTCTCCCACACAGTTAAATTTCCAGAGTGGGGACTCTCAGGCCAGGCAGTGGTGAACCTAGTGCCCAATCCGGGGATACAGGTGGCTGGGTTGGAGTGGTGCTAGATCCCCAGGACCCAGTCCCAGTGCATTGTGGCAGGAGGGGGCAGTGCCAGGCTCCTAGGGCCCAATCCCAGCGTGCAGGGGTAGGAGGGAGCTGTGCTGGGCCCCAGCATCTGTTCCTGACATGCAGGGCTCGATCTGGCTTGTGAACGAGCCCTATCCCACTCATCTGGGCCACAGGGCCAAAAGGTTGAACACTACAATTGTAGACCATCTGTGGGGAGCTAGTACATAATCTGTGTTTCCCTGGAGGTGAATTTCACATTGCAGAACCATACAGCCGTCCTATTCATCTAAATGGCCAACATTTAGATGCCTCCAGAGATGGTTACCCAGGCTTTCCATTTCAGCTTTAACCATACTAAGACACCTCTCTTTGCTCATAAGTCTGCTTCCCCCGACTGCCTAAAGTATATGCATCTTACCAGGACCTTTGACCTAAGCAGATAGAGAGCTATCTGGGCAGCAATACAATGGCCCTCTTTCTCAAGTACTCTAGTCTAGTGGTTAGATTAGGACATAGGAGACCTGTGTTCTAGGCCATTTTCCGCTTGTCAGTAGTTTGAAGCCAACCCTCTTATATCCTAGCAGAGTGCCCTAACTGGCCAAGGTTTGGGACACACACCTGCAAGCACCTTCTACGCCCTTGTCCTCTTGAAGCTGAGTTGCTGGACAACCAATCGAGAGAGAGTCGTGAGGCTGAAAGGAGAGCAAGCAAGAGGATGCTTAACTCTGACCCTAGAGGGAGAGCGCTGCCCTGAACGAGAGGGGACCCAGGTTCTTGCTTCAGCTTCAAAGTTTGTTTATGCATTTTACCCCATGACCTTTTAATTCGAAGTGTGTTATACAGACTGATGTGTATGTGCAGTCAGTGTAAGTCATGACTAGGGATCTCTGAAAATTTTGGAGGAAGTGCCTGCCATATCAGCTCATGGAATTTGTTTAATTTCACAACTTGCTTTCCCTCCCCTCAGCTCTGATTGGTGGAGGGACCCTGATGGCCAGGCTGTTTGTCGCTGATTGCTGGGGGAATTGAAAACTGAGGTTTTAAATATGCTATGGTTTTTGCCTCCCTGCTGGTTAGCAGCAAGCTAGCAGTGGGGGAGGGCACCTCTGCAAATCAGCAGTGGGGAGGCAAAAACCACAGTATATTTAAAATTGCAGTTTTTGCTTCCCCAGCAGTCAGCAGCAAATGACCTGGCCAGCAGGGCACTTCCACAAGTCAGGGCTGGAGGGGGAGTGGCAAAATGAAAAAAATGAAAGAAGCTGCTGTGGGGACATTTAGCTCCATGATTTATGGAGATTCCTAGTCATGACCCTATTTTGAATCACATTTTAGTAACATGGTGTAGACGTTTAGTGACATCTGCTCCAGTGGAGCTACATCAGTGGACCTGACTGGAGACTAGTTTGCAATGTAACAGAGTGATTTGGAAAAAAAAAAAATCACTAATCCTTAGGATTAGTCCCCGGTTAATCCACTTCTCCCTTCCGCAGAAACAGCATGTATGATTGGATGTGTCACAAATGTGTGATTTCAGAAGAGGCTTGATTGCTGGGACAGTCAGCTGGTGTCCCAGAAGATGAAGTGCAACTGTCTCTCCCAAGTCCTCAGCAGATTCTTTAGCTGCTGGTTAGAAAGTGGTTACCACCACAACTTCAGTTGAGTGTCAGATTGTTGCAAGTTGTGGTTGCCTACAATGTCAGGGAGTTGTGCAGCACTCTGTCTATGTCTCGACTTGTGCAGCACTCTGTCTATGTCTTGACTTGGATACTTTTGGGGAAGCACTGTGTTGCTTTTGAACATGCATAGTAGGGATGAACATAGTTGCGTAGGAGAAAACTGCAGCCGTGAATGGCATTTAAGCATGTAAAATTGATTCAGGCTATTATGCAAGATGAAGTAGAATATTGTTCAGTGCTAAGACATTGGTTTCTAGACAGGTGGAACTGTGTAAGTGACACTTACACATGTTATGTGTAAAATAGAGTTGTGCTACTTGGTAACAAGAGCAAAGGACTACATATACCATCTTAGGTAAAATCTGCAGCAACATAAAAACACTGGAATATTCCATTCTGAATTTCTACCTGATGTTTCCTGAAGAAGGGAAGGTTTCAAAAATTTGTCTGTGAAGGTCTCATAGTTGTAGCCTGCAAGCTCCATAGATCCAACTAGAGAGGCCCTCTTGACAACCCCACATATCCCAGGCTGCTTCCACAAAGGGGTTTTATCTCTTCATTCCCTCTGCATCTCCACTGGCAGCTTGTTCTTGGGATAAGACCTTAGGCATGCTCAATCTTATATTTTTAAACAGAGATTTGGTATGGAAGCAGTGAGACCTCATAAACAAAGAATCCATAGTGCCATGCTTGCATGGCTTTTTTTCAGAGTAGGACTCACTAAATTGATTTTTTACCCTTCCCTCTCTCCTCTCTCACCTGAAAACTTTTTTTTTTTACCTGGTTTTTGTATCTAAAACCAAAGTAGAAACTCATTATTGCAGTTTGTATACAGTTTAACTATATATGTAATAGAAATTATTCTTAAGAGCACACCACATTTTAATACAGTAGCTGCCACAAAGGAAATCAGTTTTGCTCTTTAGACAAGTATAATAAGTGATTGTTTTATTATTCCTTCATGATGTTATTATTACCCTTCAAGGGCAGAAATAATAATGGAAGGAAAGAGGTGACATATATTTCAAATATTATTTGAAATTTATCCCTCCACTTTAAAAATCTAATTTTATCTTATTCTATGAAAACCAACAGAGAGATAAATCCAGATATACTATACTGAAGAAATCAGTTACAATTAACTATTATAAATGGAAGGATTTAAAATATGTAATGAATGACAGAAGATAAACCATTAAGAAACGCTTCAACCTGCTTCTGTCAGTGCCTGAAAAAACATACAGGTAGTGCTTACCGTAAGTCATAAAAAGCTACAGTCGATTTACAAATCACATCTATACAGGAGCCTACAGAAAAAAGCACAGAGTTCCACTAGAGAAATGTTGCCTTCAGAAAAGCATGCCCAGTATTCAGTATCACATGGTCACTAAGAATTAGATCTTTGTGAAATAGTGAAATGATAGGTAACTGGAGTATGAATATTCTCTGATATGCTGACAGACTGCACCCCCAAGTGGATACATGGCTTGGCCATAGTACATTCATGTGTTTTGTCTGCATATTTTCCTATCTGAAAGCTGTAAAATAATAACAATCTCATACATATTTTATAAAAACTGCTTTGAAACCTTCAAGTGAAAGGCAGGTATCTACCAAGTACTATTATTAACAAAAACTATACTTTTGCAAAAGAACTTTTGCAAGCACTTTTTAAGATGGGTAGCTGCATTAAGGACAGTATTACCTTTTTTGTATGCAGTGTATTTTTCTTTTTGTACATTAGAAGCCTGCCTTTTGTGGAATTCAGTTGAAGGTTCACATACGCACAAATCAGTATGAAATGTGGCCATATATACTACACTAAAAATAGCTATGTGTAACAGATGGCAAGTTTTTATGTGGATTACCCCAATCAATATTTTTTTGGTGGAAATGGTAAAACAGACTATCTAGACCAGTATTAAGATAGTTCTGTAACTAGATGCTCTCATGATTGTGACTCTGCAGGGTCTGGGTGTGCAGTTTCTTTGCCTCTGTTGCATTAGGTTCCGGTTGTTACCAGTTTTCCATTCAGGGTTAACAATGGGTATGTTGCCATTGTTCCACATTGCCCCAGGTGTTTTAGTGGGACCCTGTACCAGTGGTTCTCAACCTTTTTTTACCAGGACCTATTTGTAAATATTGATGGCCAGTCCTGACCCAGTGCCCCTCACTCCCAACCCACTGCCCCTTGTCCTCAGCCCCCCATGTGTAGGGCAGGGGTTGGATGTGTGCGGTAGGGTGGGCCCCAACCAGCACCCTTGCAGGCTGGAACTGGAGTACTGTGTCCAGTTCTGGGCACTGCACTTTAACAAGGACATGAGAGAGTCCAGAGAAGGGCCACCCGTATGATCAGAGACTTGTGTGGCAAGCCATACAAGGAAAGGCTGAGGGATCTGGGACTCTTCAGCCTGAAAAAAAGAAGGCTGAGAAGGGACTTGGTAGCAGCTTACCGCTACATCAGAGGTGTACATCAAGGGCTTGGTGAACAACTGTTCACCAGGACACTCTTGGGGAAAACTAGGAGTAATGGTCACAAACTCCTGGAAGATTGTTTCAGACTCAACGTTAGGAAAAACTACTTCACAACTAGTGTCCAGACTGTGGAATAAGCTCCCTCCAGAGGTGATGCAATCACCTACCCTGGAAATCTTCAAGAGGAGACTGGTCAGTCACCTTGCTGGGGTCACCTGACCCCAGCTGTCTTCCCTGCTTGGTACAGGGGGGCTGGACCCAATGATTTTCCGAGGTTCCTTCCAGCCTTACAGTCTATGAATCTATGAACTCTGCCAGCCTGCAAGAGAAAAGTCACTGGTTTCCCACATTTTTCTTCTTTAAAGGAGAATCCATTTTTAAAGTTTGTTGGGTCCTGGCTGTAATTATTACTGTTCTTTTGCAGATGATGAAAATTCTGTCACATATCGATTACAAAGGATCCAGGACAGAAGCAGGTCTTCACTGGAATTAGTTTTTAGCTACTTATGAAGGTCCTGATTTTAAGCTGGCGCTATTGCAATGAAGAAAAGGAGAAGGATCACTGCAAATCTGAATGAGAAAATACATCTTGGCCCTGAGAGAGATGCTTCGGATCAGATCCTTGTAGTAGACTGTGAACAAGAAGTCATCACTAAGTCTGAATTGGCGTCTACAGACCAGCTTGAATGCACTGAAGAAGTTCCTCAATCACCAGAACAAAGAAAGCTCTTCAGCTCGCTGCAGTATAACAAAAATCTCCTTAAATATTTAAATGATGATAGACAGAAGCATCCATCTTTCTGTGACTTGCTCATAATAGTAGAAGGAAAAGAATTTAGTGCTCACAAAGTTGTTGTTGCTGTTGGCAGCAGTTATTTTCATGCTTGTTTGAGCAAAAACCCCAGCACAGATGTTGTCACACTGGACCATGTAACACATTCTGTCTTTCAACACTTGCTAGAATTTCTGTACACCTCTGAGTTCTTTGTATATAAAAATGAAATCCCTTTAGTTTTGGAAGCAGCAAAATTTTTAGATATTATAGATGCAGTCAAACTGCTGAATAATGAGGATGTTACCCCCATACAGTCTGAAGTAATAACTGAAGCCCCAATACCAGCTGAGACTCTCAATGACTTGACTAGTAAGCTATCAAATAGTCATCTGTGCACTTTTTGTGGTCGAAATTTCTGTTATAAAAAGTCCTTAGAAAACCACTTGGCTAAAGCGCACCGATCCTTTTCCTTGGAAAAAAAACATGGGTTAAAAATGGTTGAGAGAGCAGACTTTTCTACCAGAAGATCTACCAGAAATCGTAAATGCCCAGCCAAATTTGATAACAGTGATAATGAAAGTGGTGATGTATCTGACAGCAATTTTGATAAAGTCAGTTCTGACAAAGAAACATCTGATAAAAATGAGTTTGATGATAGTGGAAGTGAGTACAATGTAGATGAAGCACAGGAAGAAGAAATGTCAGGTGAAGACTCTGAGGCTGAAGAGCAAAGTGAAAAAGAACATGGAGCTGAAGAGAGTCCTGAGACAGTTGATTCTGTAGGAAGTATTCCTGAAGGGTTAGCTCCAGTAATGATTCAGAGCAGTAGTAAAAAACTACTTCAGTGTCCCAAGTGTGACAAAACATTCGATCGAACAGGTAAGATCCATCAACATTTTTCTTCTGCTTTACCACATGGTGGTGCTGTTTAGATGCAAAACAGAGCTATTTCCAAATTCTATATTTTCAGAGAGTTGTTGCTGTGGCTGCAGCTTAGTATAAGATGTCAGTTTTCATATGTAATCAGAAATTACCATTGCTGTACCATTATTTTACAATTAAGACATAGATCAATGAGAATTCTATTTATTAAACTGCAAATGACACTACTTTTCTCTCTCTCACTCTTGGTGATTAGCATAAGAACAGTCCTGCCAGTCCTGAAAATAGGAAGGTGAAAAAAGCTCTTAATAATATGTAAGGTACATAGTAGGAAATCTAAAACGTGGCTTTGACTTTGTAATCATCTCTAACTGTAGGAGATCAAAGTAGCTGACTTTTCTATTACCACATGAAAGGCCATCAAAGGAATTATTGTTTACAATAAAAGTATTGTCTTCTGTAGTCATGCCTTCTTGAAGATCAGAATGCTTACTTATACAGTTATATAGTTCCAGTTAACATATCTTATCCATATTACTTACGAGATGCATTTAGTTAGTGCAATGCTAATATATTGAAGAACATAATGAGAAAATGATGCAAAATTGATTGTGGGAAACTGTATTTCTTTCATAATGAGCTTTTCATGTTTGTACAAATCCAGTAACTGATTTTTATAAGATGTTTCGATGTGTTCTTGTACATCTTATAGCAGAATCGTACTAATTTCATTTCTGCTTGGAAACTAGGCAGTAGTATATACCTGTTCCTGTAGTGATCTTAACTTCTGCCTTTGTTCAGATCTAAAATGTTGTTGTGTTACATGGGCACTGGTGATAGCTCTTAGCATAATTGCCTTTTTTACTTACGAATCATATTCCACTGAAACTTTGTTGTCTAGTTTAATTTTATACCATTTATTTGCAAGATGACTTGGTTAGAATTCTGGTTGTGAGATTAACTTGCTCTGTAAAAATATTTTAATTTTATCTTTTATTTTATTTTTTTTTGTTTATACATGATGAGTGTTTCATACCCTTGTGAACAATGCCATCTGTACCCAGAGCTTCACTTTGGGCAGAACAGAGTTATATCCCGTGGTCTGCCCAAATGAGGATCAGATTCTGCCTATGCTGTTCTCCCAAACACTCTCATTGGCCTCAAAGATGAGGATCTGGCTTTGGGCTTTTCTGTTTCTTTCAGCTGGGGTAATAAACACAATTTAGACTGGCTATAGGAGGAGCTGAAGCTTTTCAATGATTTTTGAATTCAGGAAAGTAAGGAAAACAGGATCAGGCTTTTTGATATTGCTACAAGAGTTGAATTGTAATTTTTTTTCATACTGAAACCTCTAGAACTTATACTATTACCTTGGGGAGAAGTGATTTGTACATTTCTATACCTGTTGGTGCAAATCAAGCATACCTCTTATGATGATTTGTGAATTTGAGCATTAAGGCAATGGACTGTTTTAATTTTACAGTATCCTTGTAGTAGCACACTTGAATATAGCTTACCAAATAATATCATATTTGTTAGTTAAATTTGATAACTTTTAATAGTGCTTTTCATTTTTAAAGCACTTTGCAAACATTAACTAGTTGATCCTAACAACAGCCTGGTAAGTACTATTATCCACATTTTACAGATGGGGATACTGACAGAGGTGAAATGAATTGTCCAAGGTCACAGATTATATAATATTAACTTTCAGCATAAAAAGGTGAGATTTATCTATCTTTGTAATGGAATGTTTAAAATAAGCCTTTATAGAAAATTCTCTGAATTTGACATCTTTCTGTTTTTAATGCCTAAAGGCTGGTCTACAGAGACTAAAGGCTTGTGAAGATTTACCATTTTTTTTAAATGAAATAGTTTGAATGATAGCATGTATACAAGCAGATCTGAAACCCTTTTCTCTTGCACTCTCTTAACTTAGAGCCACAGGTTTGTTCTGTTTAAAAACATAGAAAGGAAAGCAAAAATGTGATAGCTGCTTCTTAAAATTTCCCAGTTTCTGTTTTCAAAAACCACAATTTATTTCCTATAAAACTCTAAAACTCTGCTAGATCTGTGGAAAAGTAAAATAATATTAAGAATAAAAATCCCTTCCACACTAAAGACATGACCCTTTAATTGTCTTCCTATGGGCAGACTGTTTGTTGCATTCTCTAAAATTAGACCTTCACTCTACATGAGTGGAAGTGGTAAATAAATTTGGGGTGGGGAAAGTATTATTATTTACTTTGCAGCAGTGCTTAGAGAACTCTGATAATGGCTCATTTATCAGGGTATCTGTCATTTAGTTAGTCTTCAGCCATACCATGGTACAGAACTTTAAGTTTTGTCTTTAAGTTGTGGGACTCTTCATAACTTTGCAGGCATTCTTTGTAAGTTAGTCTCTTTAAATGAAGAAACAAACTCATTACGATGAGTAAAGAACCTTTACAGTGACGAATTCAAGAGCATATACATCCATGATAGCATAACAACATCCAGAGATGGAGTGAAAACAAAATACTGCCATCTTGAAAGCAGTAAAGATGGGGATGTACTGGAGAACCTTTGAGTAGCTGATATAAACATAGTACAGCTCAACAAAAATTAGTGAAAAAATATTATTCATATGTGGAACATGCCTAGATTTTCATAAATATAGTTTGCATTAGTATCAGGAAACCCAAACTTATATGACACTTAAATGAGAACTCTGTCAAGCTTTCTTTAAGATGTACTCCATTGAGTGAGGTTTCCAATAACACAAAGAATTTACTGAAGGTGATGAATTATGCAACTTAACTTGTTTACTAGCCAGACTGCCTTTCAAGCTGTCTGTAACAGAAGATGCTCTGTTTTATTTCGTAGGCAAATATGAGAGTCACACACGTGTGCACACGGGTGAAAAGCCCTTTGAGTGTGATATTTGTCATCAGCACTACTCAACAAAATCCAACTTGACAGTTCACAGAAAGAAACACAACAGTAATACAGAATTTCATAAAAAGGAACACAAATGTCCATACTGTAATAAACTGCATGCAAGCAAGAAGACCCTAGCAAAACATGTCAAGAGGCAAGTATGAACAGGATTATATTATATATTTCTCTTTAATGCATTTTCCAACCCCAAAACTGTAGTATAAAGTCAAAAGAAAACTGTTACATTTTGGTTGGTTTCTGGGAGTGTTTTTAAAAATTAGATCTTTTCAGAGGACATAGGAAATTACTGTTAGTTATCACAAAAGCTTGTGTGAGGATAGATTGATCATCAAGTCTCCTGGTTTCCTCTGTTTAAAAAAAAAAAAAAAAAAATTCTCTGATTAAAAACCCCAAATCCAAGGTTTTCTGCAATTAAAATGACACACCACTATGTATATAGGTACCAGTTGAACGCAATGTTTTAATTGAAATATTTACAATTTTAAAGCAATTTGGAAGCCTACCAGTGCCTCAATCATTATAATAAAATAAATTCTAAATACCTATATATTTTGGCATTTGATTTCATTTTTTATCATGGAAAATCAGAGCTCCGCCTGCCCCCTTTGCTCACCAAGACATGGGTCCAGCTGTGGCTGTCCCCCCTGCTGCTTTGTGGGGGGGGTTGTGAGGCAGGGGTATGTAAACATAGGTGATGCTGTTGGGGATGTGGGGGGGCATGTACCCCCCCCTCCCAGTTTTCTGTGCCAAAAGCAGGGTTCAGGGCACAGGGCTGCAGCCTGGTTGGACCAGCACCAGGTGGGAGCCACCTCTGCCACCCAGCAGGTGGGACCCAGTGTAGGAGGGCAGAGTAGGACAGGGAGACTTGGCGCTGTTGCCACTGCAAGTCCTGTGCAAGCCACCAAGGCCATCAGGGTGAGGCACCCCCTGCCTGGCAGCAGGCGGGGTGACAGCAGCAGCAGCGTGGAGTTGTGCCCCTCCACTGCAGCGGTGACATAGGCAAAGTATAAGTGCAAACACTGAGGGGAATGAGGCAACTGCAGGGGTAAGCCCTATGCTTCAGGGCAGGGGAAAGGCAGTATGAGTGCAGTGGGGCTGAGGGACGGGCTGATTTGAAGGGCCCTGCCTCAAGCATCTGCTGGCAGCCATCAAGCGCTAGGGCACTTGGAAGACCCACATTCCACCCTAGCAGACAGATGGCCTGCACCAGGTGTCCGGGTCCTATGTGGACTCACGGGATGGTGGCCTGCAGCAGCACAGCGGGGACAGCTTCCAACAAGAGGTGCATGTAGCACACCATGGTGTGGAAGCACAGGCAGCAGCTGGGGCATCACATGCTGGCCCATGCCACAGGCTGGGGCTGGGGAGGCAGTACGGTGGGGAAGATAAGCACCAGCGTGAAGCTGAATGTAGCTCTGGTCTGGGCCACACTGTGGGCAGCAGAAGGAGGGCAAGAAGCTTCAGGTAGTGTTTGTCCTGCCTGCAGCAGCTGCAGTAACTCTGACTTGTGCAGATGATGATGAAGTGAGTCTTTCCCCAGTGTGGGCTGGAGGGAGGAGGAAGGGATGCCTGGGGCACCCCCTGTCCTGGCTAGGACTCCCATATTGCACCAGGCAGCCTGACCATGGCCCGCCCTCCTCCAGGCAGCATTTCCCAGTTGCTCTGTCCCTGTCCCTGAGAGCATGGGCACTGGCTCCCAGCATTGCTGACCTGGCCTCATAGCTCCCTGCTGCCTCCAAAGGGCCCCCCCCGCCCTTCCCCTATATATTGCAACATGTCATGTGTTCAGCAGGTTTATGGCTGAAAGAAGCCATAAAGATGTTCTGCATATAATGGTAGAATATCTTTTTGTGGTTGGTTTGTATGGAGACTTAAATTGAACATGTGGCATGGATCCCAGACCTTGGGCTTCCCTCTTTTATGCCAACAATATAATTACTGGCATTGGGCCAAAGTGTGTGTTGGGGGGGGGGGGGGCCCT